AGAGCGCTGCGAGCCGCACGACAGGTGCCAACGCGCCTGGAAGAAGAAACACGGTAAAGAAAAACCTCCATAACTCCGCTCAGAGAATCGTTCCGCAAATTTTGAAGATAGTTTCGAGTTCACCGTGTCAAGGTGAGTACAATGATGTGCATCTCATTGCATATGGCCAGGCTGACCTGTTGACCTTTCCTGGTTAGTAGTTTTTTGGATATCATCGTAATTAAGATCCTGGCTAAGCTACGGTTCGTTGTGGAATTGGTGGATACATTAGTGCAAGTTGCGGAGCAGAAGGAGAATCCGTTGGTGGCAGCAATGAGTGCCAGAAAAGTAAGCGGTTCATTACATTTTCTTCGACTTACGATAGGGTGAAGTGCTGAGCTGCGAATTTTTCTTTCTCGTTTAAGCATCCGCTATAGCAGCGAATTAATTTGTTCCTTTTGAATGTAGAAAATTTTCAGACCGAACCGTCGTCTGCGTTCAGACGTGCGGAGCAGTTGGTCGTTTATGTGCGAGCCTTGCACATGTTGTCGTCTGCGTTGTTGCTTGCACAACGCAATGTTGCCAGTCGAGTGTTGCATCCATCGCCGGCTGTTCAGAACGTTCTGAACATACTCAACGACAAGTATCACCAGTGTTTGGTGAGATATCCTTGTTTTATTTGTTAATGACAAACTGACTCACCTCCGTGGATTCTTTTCCTTGTCATTTGTGAGACGAATGAGTTCGATGCGGTAGCATGCCACTTTCTCTTTTCAAAAGTGCAGGGAAACGAGGGTATGTAAAAAGAGAATCGTAACTCGTCGCGCTGGCGGGCGAATGCGACGACGTCGCGCCCGCAAAGACGATGGTTCCAGGTAGTAGATGGCGACAACAGGCAATTCAGAACCGAAAATAGTCATGAATGTCTACGATGACGGGGTCTACATGAAGTCCGGTGCTCCAATCGACAGGTTAACACGAGTTAAGAAAACGCCGCGCCCATCGCCGCGCGCGGCGGAGCGGCAAATTACGATTCTCTTGCCCGTCTCCCCGGAAGGGTAGCTGTAGAGTAATGATGCCCGAGAGGTTTTTCTTTGAGTCCACTCGCGCTATCCTCAGTATGCAGCACTTGCGTAGATAGCAAGATCCCGCAGCAAAACTTGCATTCAGCAATGGGTAACAACCAGAAGTGAGAGGGCGCAGACGAGCGCGTTTGGCTATGGTCAGGCGTGCGGCCAGCCAGTGGGAGCGGATTGAGGTCCATCGGCTCCCGTGTACTTTTAGGAGGGAAAGCGGCACGCTACAGCTTTGGATTCACTCACATCATACATAGCAAAGACCAGGATCCACAGGTGAGACTAGAATTTGCCTTTGGAGTTGGTTCCACATTTGGCTTGTTTTTGAAAATGCATGCGTTAGTATGGTTGTGATTTTCAGGTGAGGTCGCAAGAGTTGGCATCACTTGGTCTGCCCGGACAGGATCCGGCAATGGCTGTTATTTCTGCTGAGCGTATCATGTACAAACACGCTATTGAGCTTTGTCAGACGGCTGCTTTGGATGAATTGTTTGGAAACCCGCAGTTATGTAGTCAGAGGTTGGTTGTATGGTTCATCAGAAGGAGTATTAATACCGTGAAACTGATGCACGGATGAAATAGATGGAATTTTTCTTGAATTTAAGATGGGAGGGGCAAAAAAGATATCTTGATAATGGGACGCATCGTCAGTGGCTACATCCCAAGGTGACGAAGTTCATGGAACACCCATGATCAAATATTCCTCTGGTCCGATAAGCGGGAGGAAGCCCTCCACCAGAGGAAAGCTGAAGATGTGGAGTCCTATGGCAGTTCCGTCAGCCTGAAGCAGCTACGCAGTTTGCAGTTGTGAGTCAAGGTTCCTGCCGCCTGGGAATCCCATTTACGTCGGTTTGAGGGACTCGAGAAAAACAAGGATAGACACCGGTGTTCAAAGTGAATGTTACTAAGGTCTACTTATCAGGGAAGGTCGCCAACTTACCATGACTTTAATGGAGATTTGGGTGGATCGATAGAGCCTATAAAGCTATTAACGAATATAGACAGCAAAAACTGCAACGTTGCATTCACACAAGCAGCTTATGAGTAGGTAAGTTTTATAATGATGCAGTAGGGTGAAGGCTTGGTGGTGAGCTGAGAAGCATAATCGAGGAATCGCATGCCGCAAATGAAGTCTCGCGTGGTGGATGTCATGTGATAAGTTCTTGCTTCACAGGGCAACAGCGATGACTCAATTTGATGTATGCGACTCTTCGCTTATGCTTCACAGCTCACCACCAAGTCTCCACCTACTGCATCGTTACAAACTTTACCTGCTCATGAATTGCTTGTGAAATGCAGGTTGCATTCTGACTACCTATATTTTGTAATAGCCTTATTACAACTTTATCCGGATCCAACCCATGGTCGCCATTCAAAGTTCCAATGGTGACGTTGGCGCGCCGACCTTTACCTTTTAGCACCAGCATATAATTTCTCCAAAGTTCCACTTATTCCGCGTCGTTCCTGCCGAAATCAATTCAGTGGTATGCTTCGTTGTCAAAGTACTACGCCCCCTACTTCTCTCTGCAGTCATACTAGAAATGTTCTGTTGTTCAATATATAGCCTGAGCTGGCGTATCTTTCGCTGGGCTTCCACAAATTTTTCAAAGAACTTTTTGTGGACCGAAACTCCAATGCGCTGTGTTTGGAACGCTATTTTACCAATAAACTGCAGAAGCTTTTCAAGGCTAGCCATTAGCAGTAAATTATAGAAGCTTTTCAAGACCTAGCCTTGTTCCATGTCGCGGCGATCGAGGGCGCACTCGCACTTTCACGTGACGGTGCTTCAGAATTTTGGAGAGGAGGGGGGGGGGGGCGAGGATATTGTCGTTATAGGACAGTCCTAATCGTCTTTATCTGACAGTGCAGGATGGCAGTTGACTCCAGACAGAAATATTCCAGGAAAACTGCGCATCCTACATCATTTTCAGAGATATACGAAGCCACCCCCCCTCTCCTCTGATTGATATAGGGTGTAATTCTACCATAGATTACTGGTGTTCTCTTAAGGTATCAAACAGCATACATGATGCTGCATACGTTGTCGGAACAAGTCCATAGCGATCAGGACCGTAATGTGCTGTCTCGTTACAAAAACGCTGTCGAGAAAAGACTGCGCATTCTGGAACGACAAGGTTTTGTGACGGCTGTGAATACTTGCTGATTAATTGTATTTGTTGTATTTGAAAAACCATTCGTTCATTCGTTTATGTGCTATTCATTTAAAAATCACATTTTCAATGATTCCATAAAAAAATGGTGTTTTTCACGTATTTAGTTCATAATATTTACCGGGAGTTAGACGTTCCCTGTGTTGTTCTAAGGTGAGATTTTTGGAAACCTATGATATAGACGTTGGGCTAGAGCTCATTAGGACCGCGTGATCTCTCGATCGGATCGCGCGACTATGACCGAGGGCGCTCCACCGCCAAACGATGCACCGCCGCGACGACACAGTCCAATGGCAAAGTGTGAACGCGTCCCAATTTGAACTCTGTCGTTGTGGTGCGCACCGCTGGGCAACTGAGTGCCCCCAGTCTTAGTCGCCCGATCCGATTGAGGGATTTGGTTTGCGCCACCGCGAAGTCTGAACGCGGTCTAATTGGGGGTCACATTTGACCTTTCCAGCTTCGTCGCCTATATCCTAGTGGGCATTACTTTTTTGTGCCATTTTGTAACTTCTTATAGAGTTCGAACTAACCGTAACTTCACTCGTTTCGTTTCGTTCAAAGTATTATGTTTCGTAGATGGCAGTATAGTATGATTGCTTTTATTTTCATTTTTGTTGAGTGGAGACGCATTGAGAAGTGCACATACTTAAGGATAGGTATTGATTAGCATCAAATGTTCAATCGATATCTGTTCTTTAGTGTGCACATTGACGAGTGTGACTTTGCTCATCAAAATGGGAGCTCTCTTCTTTTTTTGTATCATTTTGTCGTTTCTAAGGACTTTTTTGTATGACCTTTAAGCTCACTGTTGCTTTCCTGTGTTGCTCTCGTCTTGAGATCTGCAGCTTCTTTTTGGTTTTGCGTTTTGTTTCTCTCCCCACAGACTCCTCCCTTCTATTCACTAAGCTTGCCCTAATCTTTATTATGCCTAGGTTGTCATCATTTTTGAGTTGTTTCCTATCGTTAAACCAAAAATTAACGTGAGAAAAGTAACCATAGTAATTATGATTCCATCATCCTGGTTTTATCTAGTCACTCAAGTTCAGATGTGGAAGAGTCTTGTAAAAATACAAATTGGAATAAAATCATTGGGATGCTATGTGGTTTTTCTCATTGTGCATCTTTGGCTGGTTCCAGAATTTAGCGCTACCACCGTTCTCCAGTGGGCAACGGTTGCATTCTCAGTTTCCGAGATCCCATCATGATAGTCGTTCCACTCACCTCCAGGTGCGACGTGGTTCAAGCGAAGTACGCAGCCACACCCTTAGCATCTTCGGGATATGGATTGCATATTAACTTTCACGCACAGAAAGATATTCAACAACAAAATAATCTCCCTGAAAGCTAAAATTCTAGGAGAGGTCGAAGCGCCTGAAGATTATGACACCAAACAACAGGAAACATGACTGCGCATGAGTGTCATGCGATAGAAAGTGTGATTATCTTAGATCAGCAGTTTTCCTTACAGCCTTAATGAGATTCTCTACTTGTTCATACTTTTCAACAACTAGTGGGTACTTGTAACATGAAAATTTTTATTATTTCAAAT